TGATTGGTCAGTGTTTTTCATTAATAATTCAAAAACTAAGCTTTAACCAGCATTTTGGTAAAGGAAAAAGTTGTTCAGAATCACCCCAGCTACCACCCCCTGAAATTATGCCCACCAGTAGCCGAACACCCTGTATATTTATTAGAATTAAAATAAAGTAATACATAATCTGGGTTTTATCATTCCAACTTAATATCCAATTATTGGTATGAAAAATATTACCTACTCTAAACCAGAATTATAAGATGATTAATATAAATGAAAATATATATATATATGTATCTATACTGATTACCGGTAGTCGAATCTAATATAATCGGTAATGGATGAGTAACCTATTGTCGGTAATTTGGCAACTACTGTCGATAATTGGCTATTCTAATCGGTGGGCAGAAGATTGTCGCGATGATGAAGGAATACAAAAAAAAATTCTTCCCGGGGACGTTACACCTTCCTCCTCATTGAAGTCTCTTGTCCTCAAGAGACCGTTCCTTAGCTGGTAGCTCATTGGTGGTGTTTTTCTGGCTCTGGCAGGACTCCGAGTTGCTTTTGGGCAGCACTGCACCTTGTACAAATAACCACCGGACTTTCCAAACCTTGCGTCGTGAATCTCCCCGTCTGATGTCCTTGTATGCCTCGTACGAGGGTTTGGACATGTCGATTTTTATTAGCCTCCACTCGTTAGTGGGTTTCTTCTGATTAAATTGTAATCTTGATTATGTGTATGTGAAATATATATATGTATCTATTTTACCTGGGTTTTAGGCTTGGTAATATTTGATTTTAGATTTCTTAGCCAGCTTCGTTTTCCTGCTCTCCGTGCCATGTTAAATGTAATTCGTGATGTTGTCTACTGTTATGGGATCTATTGTGGTGTGATCAATTATGGGGGTCGTCCTATGTGGCGGCCAGTTTTTTTTGCTTTTTTGGGAAATTTTTTTAAACGAACTATGGAAACACAGCTGCTGAACATGGATCGCAATTCCCTGTCCGCGCTATGGAAAACGGTGCCATTGTCGCTCCACATGGTGGCACAGCAGCCTCTTCGCCCCACAAATCTTCGGAAAGCCGCGATAAACGATGCTGAGGTAAGTGATGAAACTGCTTCCAAGTGTATTGCTCGTGTTGTCAGGCATACGAATACTGCAATATAACCCTTGTATGACTTGTGTCCACGACCCGCAGAAGTACGCAGCATTATGGGCCCTGCATAGTCCACGCCTGATGTGAGGAAAGCACGCTGCGGGGTCACTCGGTCTAGAGGCAGCTGTCCCATCAATTGCTTGGCTGGAACTCCACCGTATCTTGCGCAACGAACGCAATTTTTTATGACTTGACGGACCAAAGGACGGCCATGGAGAATCCAAAATTTTCTTAATAGCAGGCTCCTGGTCAGTTGCGGTCCACCATGGAAAGTGTGCAGGTGAGCGTCTTCCACTAATAACTTCGTCAAGTGACACGTTTTCGCCATGATCGCTGGATGCTTTTCTTCGTAGGGAAGCAGCGCGTTCCCCAGTCGCCCCCCCACCCGAAGCACCCCATGAGGATCGAGAAAGGGCTTCAGCGAGGCGAGAGGCGACGTCTTCTTTACTTCGCTGCGCTGCTGGAGACGTTGAATTTCCTCCGGAAAGCTGGTCCCTTGGGAAAGCCGAATGAG